CACTTTTGAGGAAAAGTGGCTTTTTGACTAAGGAGGTGGTTCACCGAAAAAGCCACATCTTAATTACTTTCACTTATGAAAGTGCGATCAAAAGAAGATATACAAATTTCCACAGAATTTGCATATCTTCTTTCGACCGTTCCCTGTAGTGCGTACTCTAGATACACCCTAACTGTCCTTCTGAGGCAGAAGGTGGCTATGTCTACACTACAATGATCTATGGGAAAAAGGTATGCAAATTGCACTCCACAATTTGCATACCTTTTTCCAATAGTTTTTTCAGAAGAGGCTTTTCTGAAATTTGGCCGGTCTATAGTGGGCCAAATATTGAAAAAGCCTCTTCTTTTGGAAGAGCCCTTCTTCCTCGTGGGAGGAGGAAGACAGGGCTTCCGAAAGAGCATGTCTGCTCTTCCACAAAAAAAGTGGAAGAGCAGACGCGGTCCCTGGATGCAGCAGAGTTTTTCCAGGATACCTCCGGTATCCCAGAAGAACCCCGTAGTGTAGACATAGCCCGTTTTAGCTGCTCAGTAATCTACATAAAGCACTGCTTTAACATTATTTCACATTTGATCATTCCTCACTGTTATAAGTTTTGGAAAACAACTACTTTTTACAATTAATGGTCAAGATGCAATTCCAAGTGAGTTAGCGGTAAACCCAAGTCAAAATCCTGATCCAAAACACTAACAGCAAATCCCCCAAATGCTGCAAAAGTTCAGATCTCAACTTTGTAGCTCAAATCCATCACTAATGACTGACAGTGTACTACACTACATTGTTCTGTACTATAAAAAACACATTCTGCTCTCAGATGTATGTGACTTAGTAGGAGTACTGCATATGCACTTGAGAGCTGAATCTTGCCCAAAGAGTATTAAGAATATCAATGACAAAAGAAGAACTTTCATGGAATACTGAAAGAGACCAGCACACCTACCACCTTCCTGGAGCACACAGGAGTAAGTTTCTCGATCCCAAGATTCTGTTGATGAGAACACTGACAAATCTGTTTCTGTAGCTTGGGCATCTGATATCTGAAATTCTATTACATAATATTCTTTAATTTATATTTTCTCATGTAAAATAAATGTAAAACACGTTAGTTACTTAGAACCTTCTTTGGAGCGCTTCTACTCTTCTGTATAAATAAGCATTTAGGAAATTAGTAAGAACATCATTTTTACCATATATTTTCTAAAGGTGATACATTTTATATTTTAATTTGTCAGTCACAAGGGGTATGTTTAGACTATATGGCTCCTTCGACAGAGCCATGTAAACTAGTTTACCCAGCACAGTCAATGAAGTGGGGTTTTAAATTATCCCCACTTCATTAAAATAAACATGGCCACCATGCTATGCCGATGATGAGCTGATCCGGCACAGCACGGCAGTCTAGACATGGATCTGTCGGCTGGGGAAGCCTTTGCCAACCGATCCCTTATGCCCCATGAAACGAGGCTTATAGGATTGGTTGGCAAAGGCTTCCCCAGCCAACAGATCCATGTCTAGACTGCTGCGCTGTGCCGGATCAGCTGATCGTCAGCACAGCGCGGTGGCCATGTTTATTTCAACGAAGCGTGGATTATTTCATTTCCTGCTTCATTGACTATGCTGGGTAAACTAGTTTACTTGGCTCCGTCGATGGAACCATATAGTCTAGACATACCTAAGGGGGAAAAGCCCTTTTTATTTTCACCAAGCTACAGAAATATAAAATAAAGTTATCTGCTGATTTTTATTTTTCTATACGTATATTACTAAATTACTCTGTAATGCAAGTGCATTGACTTCTAAGTACTAAATTTGGCTCTTGGTCAAGATGTTATGTCTACAGGCCAATCTGAACAATTGCCATGATTAGGTCACAAATAAAAGCTGGCCACAGTTAAGCTTAAGATATGTGCACTTTAGTGATTTTAGTCCATGGTAAGCCTGGGTGAACTCACCTTGTCTGACTTCTAATCCTCTCAAACACAGATTTTGAAAGTTAAACCCAGAATTAAATGATAATTTGTCCTTAGCAGAGATCAAGATAAAGGACAAGAAATGAGACCGAAAACAGTTCACATTTTTTAAAAATGTACCATGTGACATAACTCTTGTTTCAGCTGCTTTGCACCCACTTAGCACAAAGCAGCCAGAAAGTCATGGTTTTCAAATTATTGGATGTTTCCTCTAGTAAGGAGGAAACCAGTCACCACTGGGAGCATATCTAGGCTCAGAACGTATTGTGGACTACCATCACTATGCACAGATATGGACATACAAACTAATCTGAGCCATTTGCTGCTCATGAACAGTAAAGAATCCCCCATCACTGGCTGACAGAAAATGGGTAATTCTAGGAGTGTTGTGAAATACAAACAGTATGTCAAAAGAAATTAAAACTTTTATCCTAAGATCATGGATAACATTTCCTTGACTAAAAGCTATTTGGAAAACTGCCAGGGAGCTGAAAAAGGCTGCTAAGCAGCACAAACTTCAGTGCTAAGCAGCACTGCCTCCAACTCCAATTAAGAGAGCACTGCCATATGGGGCCGCAAGAATGCAGCTGATATGACACCTATGGAAATTAGATTAAATTACAGTGTTTTTATTTTTGCTTGATAGATTACATATGATGGAAATGTCTGCTACAAATGATTATTGGCTAGAAAATGTTAGTGGGATTTTCAGAGATAAATCTCAGCTGCCAAGTCCCAGTCTGAATTTCCATCCTGCTAATATTTGGGTGTGGGACTTGGATCTGAGTTTTTGCTTGGGCCCACCTCTACTAATTAAGCCATTCCTATTTTTTTTAATGTAATATTTATGAAAGCTCCCATATAGTGTGAATCCCTTAATTTATTCACAGAATAGATCTGGGCTGGATCACGGCAGATATCATCACAAAGCCATACCTCATGCTTAAATGCTAACCTGTAAAGTCTACCTCGGAATACTCCTGTCTCAATTAAGTATCAGAGGGGTAGCCGTGTTAGTCTGAATCTGCAAAAGCGACAAGGGCTCCTGTGTCACCTTATAGACTAACACATTTATTGGAGCATAAGCTTTCATGGGCAAAGACCCACTTCATGAGATGCATCTGACAAAGTGGGTCTTTGCCCACAAAAGCGTACGCTCCAATAAATCTGTTAGGGTATGTCTACATATCAAAGTTAATTCAAAATAACAGCCATTATTTTGAATTAACTTTAATAGTGTCTACACAGGCAAACCGCTATTTTGAATTAAATTCGAAATAGCGAGGTGCTTAATTTGAATTTGGTAAACCTCATTCTGTGAGGAGTAACACCAAACTCAAATTAGCTAATTTGAAATAAGTGCTGTGTAGACACTTATTTTAAAATAGGGGGCCTCCAGCCTTCTCAGGGTGCCCTGGTGGCCACTCCAGCCTCAACCAAGAACACTCCTCTCTTTCCCCGCTCTGCTCAGAGCCCTTCAAGAGGAAGACTCTGGCCACAGTCCCTGTGCCAGCTCCAAGTCTGCCAGCCCAGAGCCAGCAGTCACTGCCTCTGACCCAGTGGCCCCAAAACATAAACCAGCAATCCACTGGCAGCCAACCCCCCACCTCTCCCCAGGAGCAGTCTGCCAGCTCCCAGGAGTCTATCAGGGCCCGGAGAAGGTGGGTGCCTTCCTGGTCCAGGGTGGAGATCATGGACCTTATTCAGGTTAGGTGGGGACACCCCTAACGTCCATGATCTCTGCACTAGATGGAGGAATGCAGCCATCTATGGCAGGATACCTGCCAGCCTGGCCACCAAAGTCCACATGCATTCCCAGAAGCAGGTTCTCATGAAAATCGAGGTGGTCCATAGAGACCCCCAACCCTGAGCTTCTCTTCCTCCTTCTTCCCCTTGCTTTCCCCTTCCACCTCCCTCCTCCCAGGTTTCCCCCTCCCCTCTCCCACCCTTTCCTCTCCCTTCTCCCACCTCTTTTCCCCAGTCTCACCAGAGTTTCATTCCCTCCCCCCCCGCCAGTTTTATTAAATAAAGAGAGTTTGTGTTCATGAAAATACTTGTATTTTATTTGACATCAGGAAGCAGGGTTGGGGGAGGAGTAAGTGGAAGGACGTGAGGGAGAAATGAAGCACAAGCCTCCAGTGGGGCAGACCAGGAAAGCTCTGAGTGCTCCTCAGGGTGGAAGCTCTCCCGCAGAGCCTCTTGGATACTGACAGCACCCCAATGGACCTCCTGGATGGCAGCCTGCAGAAAGTGCAGCCAAGCTCACAGCAACATGTTCACAAGAAGCACCAGCGTACCCAGGAGCAACTCTGGCTCCATGTTGCAGAATGCTATGGTGTTCTGAGTGAGGGCAACCAGAGCACTCCAAGACACAATGGTGTGCTGTCCCTCAGCGAGGAAGACAAGCAAGCAGGGACACCTGGCACGTGCGTGCGTGTCCCTTTAAGCACAAGCCTCAGCTAGCCTCAGGCAACAGCCACATAAAGAAACTCCTGACCTGATGCCCTACCCGACCTGGTTCCAGCCAGCCTTAAATCTGAATCGGTGTCCACTCAGTGTGGATGCGGTATTTTGAATTAGCAAAACGCTAATTCAAACTGCATTTTGTGGGTAGACGCGTTAATTAGAATTAGCTTAATTCGGATTAACTATTTCAAATTAAGATAACTCGAATTAACGCTGTAGTGTACACATACCCATAGTCTATAAGGTGCCACAGGACTCCTCATCGCTCCTGTTTCTTCATATGCCTAGTCAGCCTCTGGCTTCTCTCTTGGGACTACTAGTTAGTGCCAGTGGTAATCTGTAGGATGTGTATACCTATCTACTGGGCAATTAAGAAAAAGGGCCTGAAACCTAAGACCTTGTATCAGAGCCCTGGTTTGAAACATGAGCTAAAATAGTGAAAACTTTGCTGATATAAAGCCAAGTTAAATTGTGAGCAAGAGGCAGTCCCTGCTCACAGAATATGGCAAGCATAGGGCTGATATTGCTAGGCAGAGAACACTAACACAAGCACATTCTATAAGGGTGGTACCAGAACACCTCAATGCCAGCACATTCCTCACAGATATACACTGACCCATCCTAAAGATGAGGTCAGGATAACAGTATGATGAATAGAGGCGTTTTGATTTAACCTACATGAACAAGGTAATGGGGGACCCCTAGATACATCACTTTGTTGCACCCAGATACATCAGGGTGTGGCACTGAGATATGTCAGGACTGATATGTAACTTGTTTGTACTGGTGTATAAAGAGACATCTCAGAGGTAATGCTGTTATCCAGCTTAGGGGTTGGTGGAAAGTCCCACCACTGACCTTGCTGAATCCATTGTCATGGGCATATTTGCATTAGTGACCTGGGAGAGTCTGAAGTACAGTATTACCGGTAGTATCCTGCGTCAACAAAAAACCTGGCTGGGAGCCTTCACTGTTAAACCAAATCTTGTTGTCTTATTGGGCAGTTTGCTTGAGATCTGCTGTGCCAGCTACATGTGCAGAACTGGCACTGACTGCAGGGAGAACATGCACACACAGCCAAACAGCCATCAACATCTGACAGAAAAACCACACTGAGAACTGGACTGAGACCATCAGCCAGCAGATGGCAGTCATTTTTGGTCACTGCTGACATGGACTGAATTCAAACAGGTAAACTAGATACAAATGGGTCTATATATTTCACATTTCCCGGATCTTGTAATTTCCATGTTGAACAAAAATGTCGATACAAAACCTGCTGGCTATGTCTACACTGGCAGCTTGTGCAAGAACTGTTTTGCGGAAGAGTTCTTGCACAAAAAGACTTCCACAAGAGCACGTCTATGCTGGCATGTGCTTTTGCGCAAGAGCTTTCCATTGCAGTGCGGATGCTCTCTTGCACAAGAAAGCTCTGATGGCCATTTTAGCCAAAGGAGTTTCTTGTGCAAGAAATTCATGTTGCCTGTCTACACTGCTTTCTTGCTCAGGAGCTCTTGCGCAAGAGGGCTTATTCCTTGTGGGGAGAGGAATAACTCTTCCGGAAGAAGCCCTGTTTTCCGAACCTAGACTGTAAATTTACTTGTGCAAGAACACGTATGAAGTGTAGACACCCAGCAAGATTTTGTGCAGTAACAGCTGTTCTTGCGCAAGAAGCCGCCAGTGTAGATGTAGCCACTATGTATAGCAGTGAAAGGATAAAGCCTTTATCGAATGGCTTAATTACATTCCCACTCAAGTAAAATGAGGGTTCTTTTAGTTACCATAATTGATGAGGTTCTACTCTATTAACAGTTTATAAGTTTCTCATGCTCTCTCAGACTACGTGACATCTGGTCTCAGGCTCAGTTCAGCCTCTACACGCACTGCTTCCTGTCATAGTAATTAAATACATTTTTCTTGATGAACAAAATCCAAACAAGATGAAGAGGTAATATGCTTTCTGCTCTGGGTCCCAGTGGAAGGATTTTTACATTCCTTGGGGGTCCTCAATCATTGACTTGTATTCCTAGTTTGGTGTCAAGGTGAATCTAATGACATTCCTCAAAAAGAAACATAATTGTTCACAATTCATATACCTTTGAGAGGCCTTTTTACTGTGCAAAGGGATACAGACCCCATTTTAGGCTTTGCGAACATGGAGGGAAGGGATTCCAAAACCAGCCAACAGAAATATTTTCGTATTTTATATTTCAGTGAAAAAGGGGGAGAAAGGTCTAGGGCACAGGACTTAAATTTCACTTATAATGTTGTGAGTTCAAACACTCTGACATTCTAGAAATGTATGAAAACCAGAAGGTGAAACATAATATACAAAGCAAAACTGACCAGTATAGTTTTACCATTTAAGCTGAATGGAATACAAAAAGTGAACAAACAGCAAAATAATTGAATTATTAATGTATTATTTAATATTAATAATTGTGTGTTAATACAATACTTTTATTAATACACAATCATCTTACAAACCATGAAATGGATGCCCCAGAAAAGCTTCTTTCGGAGGGATTTAACATTTTAAAAATGTTACTTTAAATCTTACTTTAGTTCCCTTCCTCCTCTTGTAGCCTTTGCAAAGTCTAAACAGGGAGCAATAACTTCTGCTGTAGATGACCAGACTAAACTGGAGATGTCATATTTACCACAGATTCCCCACTTACTACTGGAGTGAGCCTGAGGGAGTTAATTAAGCCCCCATTCTATAGTATTGTGCAGATTTCTAAAGTGTTTTTAAATAGCCTTTATTTTATTTCAATGTAAAATGTTTTAAATAATTATAATATAGTAATAATTAAACTTAAAATATCATAATGGGTCAAGCTGCAGTCTGCCTCGGCTGGGTGGGTCACACTAAGAGGAAGCCAACAATTCACAGCGGGTGACTGTTTCCTGGAACCTTTAAAAGTAAAAATTGTTACATTTTGTATTAAAACAGTGCTAAATGCCTGGCTTAGCCTGGTCACTTGGGGCACTCGGCACACCGCTCTAAAGATGTGAGGTTATTTTTAATACCCTTGCAGGTCACCTTTAAATGAATTTGCACTTCAGTGATTATCTTTGTTAGCGCACACATTATACCAACTGCAAGTAAGGAAACTTACATGTGCTGTATAGCATCTTCAAAAAGAACAAGATTCATTGCAGCATGAAGCTCATTGTAGTGCTTTAATGAATCTGTTAAAATTCTGGTCAGCTTCTCCCAATCAGATACTGGAAAGTAACAAGGTTCTCCAAAGCCATGGGCAAAGTGGCAGTAAATTAGTGGCTTATGGATAAATACGTGCTCATCAACACCCTGATGGTAACAATATAGAGATATAAACAAGCAGTCACACAGCACATTAACCCTTTATCACATTTTTCTCTCCTAATTTTAGTGTTTTGAATGAATTCTTAGTGCTCGCAAAAGCTGCTGAATTGACATCTTTGGAGGCTGAAATCCTCTACCCACAAAACAGATACAGCAGGCACAGTAGCAATTTACATTTCCCCATCATTCCCTGCCAACAAGCCACAGCCGCAATCTGGAGGGATTCCTTCCAGAAGTTTCGTTTTCATGGTAATTCAGACTTTGTCTTCTGTGTGAGCCTACCAACAAGTGTGCCAGTTAATGACAATTGTGTAACAATTTTGCCCTGACACTTGTTCAGGGGAAAATGATTTAACACAACCAGACCATTTCACTAAGGATGCTAGTCAAAAAGCAGATTTTATATGCATTTATGATTTTCATGTAGTTTCTATCATTAGCTTTAGTTAGCTTTCATGTAGTTTCTATCATTTAGCCATTTTTCTAGCATCATAAGGCTCTTATTTTTCAGCAGTCACCATGAGGTTGTAACATACAAGCAGTGGATTGGAATGCAAGGTAAACAATTTCTTTTCAAAGAAAAAGCAGGAACAAGTATGCTTCTAACAACACAGAATATTTAAAACTATCTTTTCATAATATTCAGATTATATCCAGTTAGGTATATGGCTACTTAGAAACAAGAAAAAAAGGAACCTGTTATACGATGATCCACAGAGGTGCCAGGCGTATTGTTATTTAAAATCATGAAATCAGTTGTAACTATTGTAAATGTTGGGTAAATGAACAGAGCAGAAGCACTTACACACATAATCTCATATATATTAAAATCATACTTCAAAATATCTTTTACGATATCAATAAGAAGTTTGTTAAAATGTCTGCTATACTTTTCCTCCATAAGTTCATGGGACTAGTTTTAGAATGAGTTACGGAAGCCATAAACGAACCAAGTCATTAGGAATTTACACATACTCTGGAAACGCAAAAATATTTTCAATTTTCATTTCCACATTTAGCTTTTTATGAACATTAGACTATCCAGTCCTGATTAGTAACTAAAATGCTCCATACAGTTAGATACAATTATATGTGTTCAATAGACAATTAATGACTTGTCAGAGCAGCAGAAGTTATATAATGAGATTGTTGTGATTGCTTCAGGTACAGTGATGCCTTTTTCTCCCCATCTCTAATATTTGTTATTTCATTTTTGTTGAAATAATGTTTCCTGTTTTATTTGTCTCTAACGTGTTTTCCTTCCTCTCTTCAATTCAACCTCACTATATTTTACCAGGACTACAGTGTATCTGCTTAAAATTCCATTTTCTAGGTTCTCTTTTGTTTGTCCTCCCACTATCACCTCGTAACACACTCTGGCATAATCCTAACTGACCCAGTAACACACATGAAGGACTTCAGCGCCATTACTACTGATGTTACAAATAAGTGACTTTAGTCCCTTACTATCTTGCTTAGATTTGATTTCAATTTGCTATACAGTTTGACTGGAACCTACATGGTACTTCTTACTGTCTAACACTTTCCAGTCTTCCATTTTCCCTGACTGGTCACCTTTAGTTAACAGTATATGAGGGTGAAATCCTGCTCCCACAAAGTCAAAGGCAAACCTCCTACTAATTTCAGCTGAGCCGTGATTTTCCCTTCAATTTTTACTTATCTTCTGTGTTATGACTCAATCTTTAGGCTTTAGCAGCTGAACTTGTGTCAGACACAGCACTAATGCACACAATGCATTAACTTGGGGCATCATGGTGTTACCCTGACACATCAGACTAAGGGTGTGTCTAGACTACCTAGTTTTGTCGACAAAAGTGGACTTTTGTCGACAAAACTATACCAGCGTCTACACTACCCCTCA